CAGACCCTGCAGATGGGGCAGTGTTGGCCTGGTTTTGGGGCACTCACAGACCCTGCAGATGGGACAGTGTTGGCCTGGTTTTGGGGCACTCACGCAGCCTGCAGATGGGGCAGTGTTGGCCTGGTTTGGGGCACTCACAGACCCTGCAGATGGGGCAGTGCTGGCCTGGTTTGGGGCACTCACGCAGCCTGCAGATGGGGCAGTTGTTGGCCTGGTAGCGCAGCGTGTCGGCGCAGGAGTTGCAGAGGCAGAGGTGGCGGCAGGGCAGGATCAGGGTGTCCCGCAGGTCCGACAGGCACACCACACACTCGTTGCTGTTGTCGCTGTTCTCATCGTCTGAGGGCTGCAAGGAGAGGCAAAGGGGCTGTGCCAAGCTGCCAAGGAACAGGAGCCTGGGGGAATTTCCCACCCAAAAGTCTAGAATTTCTTTTTTGCAGCTCTCAGCAGGGGCTCCTCAAGGAGAGCAAGCTGTAGCCCACACAGCCCTGCTCACACTCCTTCCTCTCTGGGCACTGCACTGGGAATTCACGGCAGAGCTGTCCTTCCCCACAGCCATGTTCTGTTCAGAGGGGACCCATTATGGGGCAGGGATCCCCTTGACTGAGGCTGACCAGGAACAAGCCCTGGTGGCTCCAGGGTCAATAGGGAAGTGAACTCTTTGGCACTCTGGCCTTTCTTCCCCACAGACAGAGCAGCCCCAGAAGGAGCTGTGTGCTGCCTGTTGTCCCAGCCATGTCTAGCCCAGCTTCCACAGGTCCCCTGAGCAGGTGAGTGATTCTCCTGCATCCCCTGTGTTGGCACAAGCTCTGATGCAGCTGCAGGAGAACCAGCCCAGGGTGCTCACCTGCCCACAGCTACCCTGGTAAAAGGCTCAGTGTGCACCCCTTCAACATGAACATGTTTCACACCCATCTTTCTCAGAACCCCTCAGAACAAACTGGATCACAGCCACTGATCAAGCTGGGAGAGAAACTCCCTCTCCAACCACAAGACTGACACCAGAAAACTCCACAGTCTCCCCACTGATGTCACAGAAGTTGTGCCAGAGCCCACCACGATAACCCAGGATGGGGGGTACCCTCCACCTTCACCCAGGGCCCCTTTGGTCACCTGGGCTAACACGTGCCAGACCAGGGACAACCTCAGTGTAAACAGCATTTGTGCTGCTGCCACATCCTCACCCTGCCTTTTATTGGAGGGAGAGCAGGCTCTTTGCTGTCCCACTCACATGGTTTGCTGAATAAGGAAGAACAAAAATGGCCCCAGGCCACTTGTCTGACGGGCCAGGATTGCTGGATCACGAGAATCATCACAAGACCCAAAAAGAAGCCCTCAATCCTGTTCATTCCCTCCCTCAATCCTGTGCAAGAAAAATCTTAGCAAACACTTCTTCCTCCTGCTTCTTCAGGTCCTACCTGTTGGCACAGGCAGACAGGGAGCACAGGATGCTCAGGGCAGGGCAGAGCAGAGGAAATCCTGCATGTCTTGGTCTGTGGGTGCTCCACTGTGTGCAAATACTGCACTCCACACCCCAGAGCTGTGTGATCCCAAGGCCAGCACTGGGTACACTCCACAGCCCAGGTGGCAGCAAAGGGCAGCTCTACAAAGGCTTCAGGAAGAATAAATCAGTCACACAAGCTGTGCAGGGCTGTGCAGCAGGCTGGGATCCAGCAGCAGCTCCTGCCTCAAGTTTCTGGCTATGGCATTTGCATACACATGCCTTAGGGGTGCTGTGCTTTCTCCTGCTGGGGAATGCAAGAGGAATGCAACAGGAATGTCTCTGGACACTACAGGAATATGCAGAACCCCAAACAGAACACAAAGGAGACACAAGAGCAAAGCACAGACACCAGGCATGACTGCCTTGACTGCAGAGACACAGCAACACTGGCTCTCTACAAGCCCCAAAAATCAATGCTCTGACACACCCCTGGGGCATTGATGCCTTTCTCTCCTAGCAATCCCAGCCATAGGGAACATCCTCAAGAGCCTCATGCTGCCTAAAATTACCTCAGCACAACTCCACTGCCTGTTTGGGCTGACACCAGGGATGAGCTGTCATCCCTGGGCTTCTGGGGAGCCTGCAGGAATGGACAGAGCCTGGACTATGGGAAGCACCTCCACCCTGCCCTGACAAATCCCCATTGTTAGGCTCAAAAGCAGAAGGTGCAGGCTGGGAACTCCAGCTGAGGGAGCTCCTGGGCACCTTTACCTTGGTCTCCTGGTTGTTCTTGTTCTCGATGCCATAGATCTCCTGGAGCAGGTAGCTCACCCGGTCAACCTGGGGGAGAACACCACACTGCAGTGACAGCTGCTCTGGCATTACTGGTTTGTGACCACCTTCCCTCCCTCTTTCCCTGTGTCAAATGTTACATCTAGAACTCCCCTATAGTGACATGGAAAAGGCAACAAACAAATATTGCAAAGGACAGCTGGGAGAATGAGCCTCTCCTTGCTCAGAAAGTAGAGCCCATCCTGCCTGGTGTGAGCAGAGAGTAACAGAAATGGCTAGCTGGGCTATCAAAATCATCTAAAACCAAGTATTCTGTTTGGCCCAGACATTGGGAATACACACCCACAGCTCAAATAATCCAGAGGCAATCAGCCTTCTACACTGCTCTCTGAGATCCTGCTTAACTTCAACCAAGATGAACTTGCACCTATTTTTGCAACCTCAGAGGATGGGCTGTGCCAACAGCTCCTTCCTGGCACACCAGTGGCAGCACATCACCTCCCTGATCATCCTGAGAGCATAAGGTTGAGCTACTGAGGACAGACAAACTGTGTCCCTTAGCATGAGGAGCACTCAAGGAATAAATAACTCTGTGTTAGTGCAAGGTCATTTACTGCCATGCCCAGGCCCTTGGTGCCATCCCTACATTGGGGGTGTGGTGGCAGGAGGTGCTTGAGGCACAGGTGGAAGCTGCTCAGAGCCCCAGGCTGGGACAACTCCAAGCCATGACTTCTGCAAACTGACAGAAGCTGCAAACCCCACTGAGCAGCTGAATTTCAGCACTGAGGCTGATTCAGTCAAGATTCAGTTCTGTTAAACATCTTCACTGATGATCTGGATGAGGGGATCAGCTGTACCCTCAGTAAGGTCACACATAACACAAAGTTTGGTGGGAGTGTTCATCTGCTGGATGGTAGGAAGGCTCTGCAGAAGGATCTGTAACTCCAAAGGAGGGTCAGGTTGGATACCAGAAGGAATTTCTTCACAGAAGGGGTTGTCAAACATTGGAAGAGGCTGCCCGGGAGGTGATGGAGTCACCATCCCTGGAGGTGTTCAAGGAATGACTGGGCTGGGTCTTGGTGGTGACCACTCACAGGCTGGACTCAATGATCTGGCAGCTCTTTCCCAACCTAAATGATTCTGTGTTTCTGTGATCTGGTGCTGCACAGCAGCTTCCCCAGAGCAGGATGTGCTCCTCCACAGAAACCCTCACAGCAGGGAAAAGGGTGAGGGGGTTGCAAGATACCCCCTTGCAACAGGCACATCTCCCAAAAAGTGGGAGGAAACACTTTCCTGCCATCTCCAGTAGCTGTCCAGCTCCCAACATGCAGTGAAGCCAAGCCACCAGCACTCCATGCTCATAGAGCTCATCAATCCCATGGCCTCTGTAATTTCCATGTTAAAACTGGCCTCTCTCCTCTCTCTTGTCACCACTCAGCAGAGGAGTGGCTTTGCCATGGCACCCCAGTGCTGCAGAAGGTGACACATGGCAAGGTGGGGGCAGGAGCTGGCTGTACCCAGAAATTCAGAAATGCTCTGAGCTGGGACACAGCAGTGATAACAAACTAACTGCAGTGTCCCTGTGTAACTCAGTGTGCAGCTCACAGACAATCTGTTCTAGGCCTGCATTTCATGGCAATGAGATCAGCTGTTGGACTGCTGAGCAAAACCCTCTGCAGCAGCTCACAACTCACCCAGGAAGTTTGGGAACAATTATGTGGGAGATCTTTTGTAACTTGGCATTTCAAAGAGAACCTTGTTCCAGCATCCTGACTCCTCAGAGGATCATGAGGAGCAACTGTAAGTGCAGAAGTTGTCAGCTCAAAGCACAGAAGAGGTCAGGAAGAAAGAGCCCCAAGTCCCTGCAGGAGTCTGTGTTCCTCTTGACTTCTTCCCTCTAAAAATCCTGAGGAGCTTCTGTCCCAGTAGGGAAAGGGTGAGCAGTGCAACAAAGCTCTTCCTGGGAGGAATTCTAGGTTTTCAGAGTGGCAGTAATTCAGAAGGAGCAGGTGGTTGCACACAATTCTTCACCTTTATGCTTCTCCAACCCACCCCACACCACATCGTCCTTCCAAAGGCTTCTGCTGCCATTTTCAGCCTCAGCAGAGGCACACAAGTCCAGGTCATGGTTTTCTCCTGACCCAACTGTTTGTATTCATCCATGCTGACTTTCCTCAGGCAGGGTGGTGCTTACACTCCAGCTGATCAGCTCATGCACTGCTGCTTCCTGACCAATGCCCACAAAAGGTACCCACAGCCCTGGCAGTGGCAGGGAGGGGAAGGCAAAAGAAAAGCAGGGATGGCAAAGGATGTACAATGTTATACAGAGGGTTTACTCCAGACAGACTCTACACCTCTGCTCTGTCTCCTAAGGGTGCAGATGCTATCTCAGTTTCAGTGTGTGTTTTCCCAAATGCCATCTTGAGCTTTGATTACTGACAGTGCTTGTAGCTCTTTTCTGACCCAGGGACTGGAATGAACATCTTAGAGTAAACAGTGTCTTATTAAGGCACTTAAAGGTAGCAAAAGGAACTTAATTCAAATCAGAAACCCCCAGCTATCAAGTAAGCGGATGAAATGAAACTCATTTGAAGTTAAAACACAGCACACAGCTAAAGCTGAAAGGATCAACCACCAAAATTTCATCTCTCTCTTGAAGACATTTCAAGCTGACCCTTGCAGCAGAATCACTACCAGATTTCTTTGCAGAAACTGAAATTCTTGGCAATCTTAGCAGTTGCTTATGTATTTCTGGCTATGCAGGACTGGATGCAGCCTCAATCTTGATAAGATACTACCCAGCTTCTGCACATCACACCACAGCAGGATGGGGACAAAATGGCAAAATGAAGGGTTGCCAGCACCTTGCTGCCTTTATTTACAAAATCAGAGCTAAGGAGGTGAGACCTCAGGCTCTCAGTGAACACCAAACCCTCCCTTTGGGCACAGCCAGGCACCTGAGGGACACCAGCAAGTCTTTAAGAGTAGAAAGGAAAGAGGTACTTACAATCTGCTTCTGTTTTAGTGGTTTCACAGAAAAACTGCCATCAACATGCTAGCAGGAAAAAAAAAGACATTAAAACATGAAATAGCTGCAGTGCACAAATCAGAATGGGCTCATTTCAGAGCTGGTGTCTGCTAGCTAAGGGGACAGTGGGACAGGGAGGGACAGTGGGGTGTCAGCAGTCCCTCCCAGCAGAGTTACTGGAACAGGGAACTGGGGAGCTACTGGTCTGCTCCAGAGCAGAGCCAGGTGGGCTTGGCTCAAGTTAAACCTGGCTGAAGTGGCTCAGAGCCCACACAAAACTCCCTGGCACACTGGATGCTTTCAGGCTGCAAGCAGTCCAGCTGGGTGCAGACACTTGCAGCCAGTCCAGCAAGACTTGGGGGAGGATATTTGTTTGTACCCTAACACCAAATGACAGAGTCACTGCAGGGCAGAGCCCTGACAGAGCAAGGGGCTGCCATGAGGCAGAGAACCAGGTTTGTCCACGGGATGGAGTCAGAAACAAGTCCCATGTGCTCCACACCCTCAGAGCCTTTCATTTGCTCAGTGGCAGCAGGAACAGCTGGAACAATTCTGTGTGTGCCTGGTGCCACAATTAGTGATGGGAGATGTGAGCCAGTTCTACTTTCCCCATCATCCACAAGGGCCACTAAAGAAACCAAGTCCCCTGGCACAGCCTAGAGAGCAGCAAAGGAGACTCAGGGGATGCTCAGCAGGTCCTGTGAACACTGCAGGTCTGCAGGAGTCTCAGAAGGAAGGGACAACAACATCACAGCCCAGACAAAACAGTCCTGTTTTCAGGCAAACAAGTTTCTGCCTTTGGAGGAGCTGCAAGGTCAGACTGCACACAGGATCAAGGTTATTCCTCTGATCTTAAAGATACATACAAATAGCAAGTTACCAAGCCCTGCTGCTCTGTTTTTCCTCTGAACAAGCTCTGGGGATCAGCAGTGCTCATTTATCAAGGACCTCCCCCAGATTTATGGACCTACACTTCAAAAGCTGCAATTACTTTAAGGATGGGGAATATATTTTAACCAAACAGGGAGGATGAAGAACTCAACATGTACTTTGCCTTGTGACTTTTTATTAAAAGGGAGATTTTAATCTTGTTTTAAGCATTCAGTGGAAGATGAGAGATAAGAAGTGGCTGGAGTATGACTGAAGGATTCCAGTGTGCTGGTTTTTCACATCAACCAGAGGAAACTACAATAACATCCCTGCCCTGCTCCTAGGGGTGCTGCAGCTGACTCCTCTCATTTCTGACACATGTCCAATTGCCAGGAGTAAAGCTACCTACAAAGCCAGTGCTCAGAGCAGCCTTTCTAACAGGGAAAACTCACTGTCTTCACAGATCAAGTCCAATTAAAAAAGCAACCTAGAATGCTTAGAGCATCTCCCAGCCATATGCTTCCTTAGGACTGCCTGTGCTTGCCATGCCCTCTGACTCAGCTTGTCACCATCCCCATTATCCACCTCAGAGGAACAGAATTAGGACCTGGCAGGGACCAGGCACACTGAGATACACAAGTCAGCCACCTGCCAGCTGGGAAATGGGGAATTTCCAACAGCACAGCACTGATGCTGCTCCCCTCTACACCTCCAGCTCTGCTCCAGCAGCTCTTGCCTCACCTCAGCATGTCACTGCAAGTATCACCTGCCCAGAAAATGTGTCTGCAGTGTTACCACCACCAGACACAACAGGGTTAGGTCCAGTTATGGATATTGCAACTGTTTTCAGGGTCCAGTTACCAAGGGAAGAGAGTTTGTTATCAAGGCTTGTGCACACAGCTTGGCCTTACCATGTAGGCAGGGCTCAGTTACATCAAACATCCCACTCACAAGCAGTGGAACTCAGCCTTTACACAGGGTGTATCCCAACCCTTGCTCCTGGGTGTAAACTCAGGCCTAACAATAGTGCAACAGGGTCTGGACACAGCAGATCCAGTCCTGCAAAAATCATGGAGCCCTGGAAAACTGCATGGCAGCAGCCATGGCCAACACCTTCCCCCTGCATGGGAGCACAGGAAACACCCCTGCCATTCCCTGAGTGACCAGCACAGGTACAAATGATCATTACAGGCTGCACAGAGCTGCTGCAAATGATTCCTTGTACTACAGCAGCAGCCAGGAACCCCAGGCACAGGCCAGGACTCCGCTGTGCCAAGTGTTATATAAATACAAACTAACGACCCGTGGAAATGTTTACATACACAAGAACAGGGACAGAGGGATGAAAAACCCTCATTTACCTTTTCAAATGCAGCCAGAAGAACATGGGCATGACCAGTGACCTCAACCACCACTGCAAAAAGAGAAAGGGCAAAACTGGTTAAACCTCTCAAGCAGCACCAGCATAAAAGTATCCTGAGCTGAATTTTAGTCCACTTACAATGTCTGAGCTGCCATTTGTTCTATTTTCACCTTCTCCTGCATTTAAAACTTCTCTTATCTTGTCATCAGGTGGGTTCAGAACAGAGCAAGAACAAAACCCTGCTGAGCCCTACACAACCATGCCTTCATTGTCCTGGGTGCTCCAAACGATCCCACCTTGTTAGCAGAGGTTGGAAAGGGACAGTAAAGCAAAGCACTCAGTGGGATTCTCCTGTCCCCTGAAATTCCTGGGCTTAATTACCTGAATTTATCACAGAGCTTATCTGGTTTAACAGCAATTGGCAGCACTTCCAGCCCTGTTACTTATCATTTTATTGCAGTCTAGTCAGACATGCTTATAAAACATTTATTTCTCATACAAACTTCAGACACTGCAACATCTCTGTCCAGCTTTCCCCAAAGACAAACATTTTCCCTCTTCCAAACTTGAGAGTTCCTTTTTAATCCCACAGCAATGGGAAGGGGCTGACAGAGCTTTCAGTGCGGCATTCCTGGCTACTTCAGCAATAGAGAGAAGAGGAGGTGAGGTACAATCCCAGCCTCTCTCACTCTGACCCTGAGGTTCTGTTCAGCTCCAGCTGGTTGGATCCTTTTCCTGAATCCTGTTCAGGCTCCTCATATGGAAGTGGGAGACAGAGTTTGTGAAGGAGTCACAGAGGGAAGGAAGGCATGGAAGCTCTCATGCTGCTTGGAGTGAAGAGGGCTGTGCTCAGCACAGGCAGGAGGGCTCTGCCTGGAAGGTGCAGCTCAAGGAAGCAACTCCTGCTCTGTCCAAAAGGGAAAGGAGCTCCACAGCTTCCTTTGGGCTCCCAGGACAGCAGAGACAACAGAGGAACTGGGCTGTGGCACTCAGACCATGTTTGGGAACAGCTGTATGAGAGGGGAGACTTTCCTGCAGATGTGCTGGGTAACTGAGGTTGGTGATGGTAATTGGGGTGGAATCAGGGACACAACACAATGCAGAGAAGGGGGTTAAAACTGGGAATTCATCTGCTTGCTGCTCTCACTGCCAGCCAAGAGCAAGGCTGCTCTGTGTCTCAGAGTAAACAAAATTTTCAAGTCCCTTCCCTCAGTGTGAATGGCCAAGGAAGGGGTAACAGCTCAGAGTGGTGAGAGCTGCTCTGTGCAGCACCTTTCCTTGCTGTGCTGTGCCTCTCCCTGGGAACAATCCCACTGGCATGCAGGCCATGGCAGAGTTCAGTCCAAACGAGCATCTCCTGACTGCTATTTTAATTTACCATCCAACCCTATTTAACAGCTGTCATTTTCCAGGTGCTCCAAACACACCACGCCAGCTCCTTCCAGTGCCATCAGTTAAAAAAAGAACCAAAATGCACAATTTCCTCAAATCTTGCTCAAATGTCACACATTTTTGTGCTGATATTCTTTCCAGAAAGGGGATTTAAAAGCAGTTGGTTTTCTAGGTTATTAAAATAGATGGGAGTAGATTATTGGCTAAGGCTGGGCATGGTATGTGCATAAATGTATGCTTCCCATACTGCCTCCTGTTCTATTTTTGATCCTTCTAGACAAGCCCAACATTACAGAGTATAAACACCTTGCCAGAAGTTCCATAAACAGAGGAAGCTGTTTTATATTTCTGGTCAAGAACTACACATAGATGTCGATTTTACTAAGGGTGCCTGAAATCACTAAAAATAGAAGCACTTTGGAAGTAATTTCCTTTATGTTGCACTGTGCTTTGTTAGTCACACTTTAAATTGGCTTATTCAGTTCTATTTCTGTCTGCTTGGAAGACTGTAAAACAATGTAATGAGTTTTTGAGCTTTTTCACATTTACAACATAAGAAACTGAGCAAGTGACTGACCCAAACAATGTGATCAACAATGGATTTTTTTTTCTTTTCTAATTATCTTAAATTTTGTACAAAATGTTACAGAAGTGAAATGCTGGTCCTCCTGACCATAAAAGCCCCCAATTTCAAAGAAAATGTGACTTCCTTGTGCCCTGTTCATTGCTGACACTCCAGATGAGCCCAAAAGCACAATTCCCCTAAGGGAAATACCATGTATGGTGAATAATAATCTAAAAATAACACTCTAAATATTCACTGGACTACCCTCTCCAAAAGAGCAGTGTGCTTTAAAAAAGAATCATTAATTAATCATAATTACAAATTATGATTAGTTCTTAATTATTTTTAAAATTTAGTCAGCAATTATTTCTCCTGAAAGGTTATGCTCTTTTCTTATAACCATTCAACATCCTCAGAAAAAGCATAATTTCAAAGTGCTGAATGAAGCTGAATTTGGCTGAAGAGTGACCTGAGTACTTTAAAGCCATTTCTTTTTCCCTGCCCATTTCCAGGTTTTTAGGAAAACAACTGACCCCTCTAAGAGGGAGAAAAGAGCAGCTCCACCCTTTTTGACCTATAAACTGTAAAAGCACAACCCAACAAGCAAGGATATCATTTGCTCTAATTTGTGTGCCTGGCACTGTGGCAGAGCCAGGAGCTCTCCTAAACACTATTCCAACACTAAATACCTGGCCATTTTCCCTGTAAAACAATGAAGACTATTTTTAAAAGTCTGGTTTTTATGTGGTTAACTTGACCCTTTTAATAAAGGGAAGTTATGGTGATCTCTTGAAGTATTTTTATTCTGGAAACACTCCCCAAGGAGGCCAGTCCTGAAAGGGGTCACATAAACTCAGAGAGAGCCAGGAGAAGACCATGGGAACAGAAGATCAACTCTTACCATCCCCTTCATCCACCACTGCTCTGATGACCACAGGGAACACGCCACGGTCCAAGTCAAAGTTCAGCTGAGGGAAAGAAATGAGCTGAGGTTACACAATTCACAGCAAACCTGCCTGAAGACAACACTGAGATCATGTCAGCTCAGTGAGGGGCCCTTCTGACACAGCCCCAGCTCCTGGTCTCAAAAGGACACACAGAGCAGAGCAGGAGTGAGGCCACAGCTCCCTTCACAGAGAGCAGCAGGCACAACTCCCCCAGGAAGTGAGAAAACTCAGAGAAAAACAATTCTTATCTCTACTTGCTGCATCTGTTGTTCAGCACATGTAGAATGTGTTATGAAGATTGTTCACCAAAGAAAGATTTCTTAATTGGACACTGGTGATGGTTGTTCAGATTGAGTGACCAATTAGGTCACAGCTGTAAGGGGTCACGGGTTTTTCTTTAGCATAATTTGATATACTATAGTATATAGTGTAATATAGTATAGTATAGCTTAATAAAGCTTTTCTTCAGCCTTCTGAAATCATGGAGTCAGAGCACATTATTCCCCAGATGGGGATCATCCTACATCAATACAGGAGGATTTAAAATTCCAGGCACCAACTTTAAAAGGGAGTCAACTCCAACATACACACATGGACGTGGCACTAAGCACCAGCAAAGCAAGGCAAAGGATGTCAGCTGGAATTCCAAATGGTATTTAATTCTCATTAATTCATGGATCCTAAAAGTCTTCTGAGTGATTTGTAGTAGGATAAGTTTCTCAAAATATATCCAGTGCCACAATTCTGCCTCCATACAAGAGGATACATTGGCCTCAGCACAGCAGCACATTGTGCTCCCAACACCACAAAGAGACCCTATGAAGTTCCTGAAGACATAAGAGCAAAATCTGCAAAACTTCAAGCTCACACAACACTTTAAGGAAACACAGGACTGATTTTCATCTCTTGGCATATCATGAAGTGCAGGTCCTTGAGTTTCTAGTTGGTGAGAGTGAAAATTTGAGTGCAAGGGAAACAGTCTCAGTTTCTCCCTTTGCCCTACACTTCATTAAAGGACATCAAAAGCTCTGTGTCATCTTAGAAATACAAGGAAAAGGCAATCTTACAAACACTGTCCTAAGCCAGGAAAGGAAGTGGCTCAGGGACTGGATTTCTGTTGCTTTTGTTAATTACCAACTTGGATGGTTTTGTCTCATCTCTTGCCAAGACTGAAAAAAAGATGTCATTTCACCCTGATGCTCCAGGTAATCTGTTTTCAGTTTCTCCATGAAAACTGAGACCCAGTTCCAGGTGCTGCAGCAGTTCAGACAGTGCTTTGGGGTTTCCATCACTTTGCCACAGCCCCAACATCATCTGCAGCCTGATTTGCTCCAGTTCCTCAAAAGAGAAACCATTTGAAGGGAAAGTCACATCACAAAACTGAGGTTGCTTTTCCATATAAATTCCAGTGCTCTTGAACAAAAGGCCTCTTTAAGGCACCATTTCACATTCACTTTTAGGGCCCTGAACACAACTCACTCAACACAAGCCATACTCTATAATTTCCAAGCAAATCAGTAAATGAGAAGATAAAATAAACTTTTATAAAGCTTTTCACAGAACAACCCAACATAACATCAGTCTCCCTTCTTCCCCAGCCAAGATCTACGTCATATCCGAGTATTACACTAAACAAAACCATGAAATAAATCTGGGGGTTTTGAACAACACCAATAACAATGCTGGAAAGAAATCTGAAATGTCAACTGCACACAGCTAAGACACTGCCAGCTGTCTCAAAGAAAAGTGCTGCATTTTGGTGGCCAGTTGGGAAGATTTAGGACAAGGACCAATATGTAACAGAGCTGACATGGGAGGGGAAACTCTTTGGAATCACAGTGCTTGTTCCACATTTTTTCCAGCTCCCAGTAACACCAATGAAAAAAAAGGAAACAGAGGATGCAGCAGAACAAGTAAAGAGAGCTGGAAACTCATTTTTCTTTTAAGCTGTCAAAGGGATATGACTTTAGTACTTGAGTTAAAACCTTGCTGACAGGAACAAAAGTAAAAATTAAGCTTCTCAATTCTTTAAGAAGAAAGGGAACTGAGCTCTCACAGACAACAGAAGGGATTGAAAAGCAGCTCTTCCAGGCTTTTGTAGGCTGAACTTGTGAAATCATCTATTGGCAGAGAAGCCAAGACATCAGGAGACCAGACTCTGCAGGCTCTTGGTAACCACCACGGCATTTGTTAAGGCACGGGACTGATTATAGCTGTAACTGTAACTTCAGGACAATAGCTATTCAATCTTTCAAATACATGAAAGATTATTTCTTTTTTTCCTTTTTACCCCTTTTTTTCCTTCTTTTTTTTTTTTTTAATAGGTAGAGTTATCTACCAAGGTTCACATGCACAATACACTTGCACATGTTTGGGTCAGGAAATGAGCACCATTATCAGTGTGCACTTCCTGGGAGAGGAACCAATATATTAACAACAGCCACAGAACAATTACTCTGCCTTTGAAACATCTTACCACAATTCTGCACAGAGCAGGGGGAAAGACCAAGGCTTTCCTTCCCTATGCCATGTGCAGGGGAAGCCTTTGGGTGAAAGTTTTAAAAGCTCAGAAATGAGAGGCTTACTGCCCATGTTGGAATTTGCAGATACCAAAGATACCAAAATTAACAGCACTTCACAAATCTTGCTATGCAGAAAAGCCACAAATCTTAATTAAAACCAAGCCCTGGTCTGTTTGCAGTTATGGATTAAATTAAGAAGAGGAAAACATTCCCTTATTCAGGATTGATGCACCAGTGTAAATCTGCCCCAGAAGGAGAATATCCCTTCACAACACTGTACTGCTATAGGATAGTGCAGGATGTGGGCCTTTAACAGAGCAGGACTCTTCCAGAGGAGTGGTCTCCACACTATTCTGACTATTCATCCCATCAGTAATGTGTTTTGAGCACACATTCCCAAGATATGTGTGCTTATCATCTGTGGGTTATATACATGTAGTTCTGAAGTCCTTGCCACACCCCAATGAATTTTAGAGACCACTGTTCTAGAGGACCACCCAAAAAACCCCAAAATCTTACAACTAAAACCCACAAAAACAGAGCTCCTGACAGACATTTGTTCCCACAAGCTCTTTGGCTGGCAGGGAGGGGAAGGCCAAGGAAAGCAGGTTTTCCAGGAAAAGCTCCAGTGGCAATCTCTGCAGCCTCCTTCCTAAATCAGCTGTTCACTGATATCAAAAGTCACTTCTCTGGATTTTCTTTCCTCCTTTCCTGGCCTGATCTGCCTGCCCAGTTCCCACACTGCTCCTCCCAGGGCAGTACCCACAAAACACACTGGAGGAGCTGGGAGAAAGTGTCCCCCAGCCATAGTGGGGGACAGCACTAAACAGAGCCCAGTGCTTTGGGGACAACAGGCTGTGGAAAGAAGGGGACACTGAGAACACACTTACCTCATCATCCTTCCACTCTGAGAAATCAATCTTGAAGGAAGGCAGGGAGAATTGCTGGCTTACCCCTCTCTTGTAGTGAACTGTCTCAGACTGCAGAGAGGGATTCTTTGTGCTGTATCTGAGGGAAGGGGAAAAGAAAACTCAGTGTGACCAAGGACTGCTCCCTGCCCTGCTCTTGCTTGGCCTCTCAGGAATCACAAGTGGCAGCTCTAAGGGCAGAGCTGGCAGGGGCTGGCAGCCATTCAGTGGGGACACAAAGAGGGGAGGGAAAGGTCAAAGCAAGAAGGTGAGCACAGGAAAGAGAAAGCAGCGCAGACAGGCAAGGTCTGATCGTGTCCATACTGACCTGCCTGGGTGCTGATACAGGGGGTGCAGCAGCTGGGCAAAGGCCTGCTCCCTAAACCCATGGCCTAGCCTGAGGCTGGCTTTGAGCCCAGCACAGTCCTGATTTCTGCAGGAAACCCAGGAAGACTGAGCTATGACCTAACACCGGGAACAGACAACCCAGCATGGTGCTGAAAGCTCTCTGTCTCTGTGGGGCAGCTCCACAGTGGGTAATGCTGCTTGGCTTCCACCATCCTGCTGAGCCTTCAATCCACTCCTCAATCCCTCCTGTGCTTCCCCAGGGGTGATGCAGGGCTACCAACAGCACCTGAGAGACACCAGCCATCCTCCATCCCAGCCACCACAATTCTTCACTGTCTCAAAGCTTGTCACTGAAACACCAGCACTGCCAGGCTGGGATAACATCTGGAATGGGACCACAGCTGCCATCCACCATCTTCTGCACCCTGAGCCCACCTGGTGCTGTCCTCCCCAGTTGACATTTCTCTGCCCACTCCCCCTTTCTGGAGGGTGATGTCTTGAGCTGGATGTGCACAGCCTTTCCCAGTTCTGGCACAAGAGTGAACCCCAAAGCAGGGTGGGAACAGCTGAAGCTGCCTTTACCACCAAAGCCTTTCTTGTCAAATGACCAGCTGTGTGCTCAGAGCACACTGACAAACTGGAGAGAAGGTGAGAGATCCCCTGCCCAAGAGACACTGCAGCAACATCCTCCCTCAGCACTGTGACAAGACAGGCTCCAGCCCCACAAGAAAATCCTCTGCCTTCTTTGGAAAGCTCCAACAGCTCCTGCACCCTCTGAGGATCCAGAAGGTCAAGTGTCACAAGATCCATGTTAAATGCTGGGAGGTCATCACAAAGGGCAGGTTCACCATGTGCACTCTGCTCTCTGCATTAAGTTATTTATGACAATACCCTCAGAGCCCATCCTGCACTGTGCTGAAATTGTGCTGCTTTACTAGAAGGTCTCACTCCATCCTTTGCATTTCAAGCATGGTGTGGGGGAGATCAGAGTGACAGGTCTTTTATATGTGAATTACAGAGCGAGCAATTGAGTGAAGTTTTATTTACTGAGTTGTCAAGCACAATGAATAGAGCAAGCCTGTATCTAGCTCCTTTTGTGGTGCTCTCAAAGCTTCCCAGCTCTGCAGAGAGGCACAATTCTCCCTCCACAGCTGGGAAAGCAGGAGATGGAAGAGTGACTTATCTAAGGTGACAGCAAGTCAGGAACTTACTGGAAATAAAGTGCAGGGGAGAGAGTGGAGGTGGGAAAGGGGTGTAAACATGATGCTGCTGAGGGCCAGGAATGCTGGAGGACCTGCATTTACAGCATCAGAAACCCAAACTAGGCTGCAACAGAAAAACAAATAACACTCTTCCAAGGAGGACAGGGCAGAGTGATACTCACATTGACTCGCTGCTCTCACCATCCCTGGGAAAAGAAATAAACCAGGCACAGAGATTTTCTGAGCTGAAGAGCAGGACAAAATTATTAAGGAGGCTTCCCCAAGTGAGCTTTATGCCTCAGACTGTGTGACTGCCTGGCCCCCATGGCCAAAACACATCAGACTGGGATGTGAACAGCCAGGTAACTCTGAGCACCTCCAGCCAGTGGGCTGCTGAATTCCCTGCCAGTCTGATTGCCCCTGGCTGCCTCACAGAAATGGATCCTCTTTTGGGATGCAAAGGTTCCAATAGGATGCAAAGGCTCTCTGCACAACACAACACTCCCTGTGCTACACAGGAGGGAAACTAGACAAGCTGTTTCAAAGCAGATATCCTGCATACCAGGGTCTAAGGGGCCTCTACCCATCCCCTGCCCCTCTGGTTGGCATCTGCTCTATTCACAGTTATCTGTTCCCTGCCTGTGCTGCTGGGGGCTCACAGCAAACACCAGCAGGGAAGCTCTGTAAGCTGTGCAGATGTGTTACAGAAAAAGAGAGCACGTATCAAATAAAGGACAGCAGAGAAGCAACACACTGCCTCTCTCTGCAGGAAGTGTGAAAGCTGAGTGTTTAGGCTGCTGTTGCTCAGACTGCACTGGGCCAGGCCTCCATCCAGGGGAGGACAAAACCACCTTGTGACCACTGGGAGCTGAGGACAGTGGAGAAGTGAGGGGGGTCTGTCCTATAAGGTCAGGAGCACACAGAAATCCTCAGTCACATTATTTTAAACCTGTTTGTTTGCTCAGGTACCCCTGAGCATGAGAATCACAAGCAGCCTGAGGTACCCCACTGCTGGTGGCAGCAGCAGCCCTCAGCTCTGTCCTCAGGGCTCATGCAGCCCATCTCCTGTGAGCTCTGTGACACATCTTTACTCACAAAAAGCAAACTTCACTCTGCACTGACTCCCTCTTCCCTCATGTCAGACCTTCTAAAGCCAGCTGTGTACGACAGAACCAGCAGATGAGAGGCTTGTGACTATATCCCAGTAATTTCTGAGAGAACTGGACCAAACTAAAATTATTGCCCAGTCTCACTTTTCCTCTGTCAACTGAGAAGCACTCACTGCCTGCAAGGAGAAACTCAGATTGGCACCTGCAGACCCTAAGCAGCTCCCTAGTCAGAAGTGCCATGCAGTTTGGCTAAGCTGAACTAAACTTCTGTTGCCACGTGCTCACTGGGGTGTTTCCCCCTTCCTCATCCCTGGTGTGTGCCTGGGGAAGTTCTCAGCAGGGCACCAGTGCCAGCTCCTGCAGATTTCCCCAGTGCTGTGCTCCCTCTCAGCTGTGCCTGGCACTGGGGCTGCCCTGGGCAGTCTAAGGGCAGCTCCTGCTCCCACTGGGACCCCTGACTGAGAAGTGCCACACAGGGATCCTTGCCAGGCTGCCTGACTTACACAGGGCACTGTGCAGACCCCATTCCTCAGGAAAAGCAGGATGTAAGGAGCAATGTTGCCCTTAGGTAACACTTTTGACTAGAAATGGCTGGGAGAATCTGTGCTTTGAAGATCCTGTAGCCAAAACAAGAGTTCTCTCTCTTCAGCAGTAGCTAAATGTGTTTCATGGCAATCTGCAGTGAACCAAGGACCAGGAGAGCTCCAGAGGAGCTCAGGAAACAATTCTGCCCCTGCCTCAGGCTGTGACTGCCTGGCAGCTCCATGTCCTCTTACAGGTGATGAGGAAGGAGTTAGTCAAGCTCTGCTGGTGTTCAAAGGGACAGGAGGTGATGTGGAACAAGCATCCTCTGCTCCTCTCTCCCACCTGCTCATTTCCCTTTCATCTGAGGAGGATCCCACAGGTCAGCTTTTGGGGAAGAGGGAAGCTGAACAAATGTTTCTACTCTAAGTGACTTTTACTGATAATAGAAACACTACCAAACTACAGAATTAGACAAGATCCACCCCACAGAGGCTCCCACAAGGAGCCTGGAGGTTAACCAGGTGCTAAGGCATTGCAATCTCTGAGAGTCTTCTCCCCTCCTGCTTCCTTCAGGACTGAGTTTCCACTCCAAGCCAGGCAAAGACAACCCCCTCCCCACACAGCTGAAACCCCAGTGCCCAGATTCCCCCCCAGCCCCTGCAGAGCTCTCTAATAACCACCTTCCCAGCTCCAGCCAGGCTTCAGAGCTCACACAACAGCTACACACAGAGGCACAAAGGCCACAGCTCTTAAGACAGACAGAGGGTTTGTGTGCTTGCTGCAATCTATAGAACTTGGCTCTCCATCCTGTGAACTCTGCACACTCCAGTGTTCCCTTGGGGACTGGTGTGTGCCTGGATCAAAGCCACAAAGGCTGTTCCTAGCAAAACCCAGCACTCGCCTCTGATTTCTTCACACAGAAGAAACCTCTGCACAAAGAATTCATATTAATCACCACAGCCAAAAGCAGCAAGAGCACCTTTCAAAGGCCCTGAGCAGACAGAGGCTATTAAATAACCAAAGGAACATCTGAGTGCCTCTGTCTCCTACGCAAGCTTGAATGAAAACAGCCGTGTGCTGATTTGGATTTCATTTTGAGACCCAACTCCTCCAACTTCCACACCAGGCAGAGCAGGGAATCATTGCAGGGTCATGTCCCCCATCAGCTCAGGAAACTGTGGGAGGAGGCTTGGGATGAGTGTAGTGGGCATTGCAAAACAAACAAGGAAATGGGGTTTATTTTTTGAATACATCCATTTGCACATCAGCAACACAAACAGCACAGCCCCGGAAAGGGCAAGGATTGCAGAGCTAGACTGACCTATTTTCATTCTGTTTTCTCTTTATAGTGAGAAAATAGAACTTGGCAACAGCACTGGGATATGGGAGAGAATCTTTTGTGTCCAAAAAGGAAGATGTTTTTCATAAGAATGGGCTGCAAGGCTCCAAGCTCTCACGTCATATTTATCATGAGCTCCTCATCTGCCTGGATTGCTCATGCCTTCAGAACTGGCTCTTTTAAGTGCTTCCAGCTCCAGGCTTGGTTTGACTTCTTCCCCTGAGGAAAGAACTGCTGCTGTCATGTTTGAGCTGCACAATCCTTCCTGCTAGTCAGCAGGACACCTACAGCTGCAACAGTCCCAGGGGCCCTGCCAGGAGCAGGCTAATGGTGTGCACATCCAGGATTCTGCCACACAAGGCAGGGCTGCACTCATAAAAAGAGAATTCAAATATCCCTGCAGCCTGCTCCAAAAACACACTTGTCTCCCAAACCAGGGTATCTAAGGTACAAACACACGAACCAGTTACTGCAGGAGGAGGCAGGCTACAACTGGGAGTCTTTGAACTGTTCTCTGTGAGCTGCTGCCAGCCCCACAATGGAAATGCAATGCAGAGTACCCTCTCCTTTATCTGGAGGGAAATTACATTATTACTAGCGAGCAGTTGAGGCACAGCTCACACACCTCCATGTTTCTCCTGATTTCCAAAACTAGAGAAAATGGACACAGCCAGAAAAAGAAACAAAATTGAAGATACTGAGGGGAGGTCTTGAGCTGTTCAGAGGCAGGTCAGAGCTAATTCCTTGCCACTAAAGAGACTTGGACATTGGTATATCTTTTACCCTTGGGGTGATGCACTAGCTCATCCTCTGAGAACTGATCCCACCACAAGTAACCGAGCAAAAAGCATTTCAGAGGTGAGAGGAGCAGCCCTCTCCAGATTTAAATAATTTCTGTTTCATCCAAAAGGCTTCTACACATCTCTGCACTAGCACCAGAAAGTGCAAGGTACCTTCCCCTGGGCATGGGGCTGCAGAGGTGAGCACACCTTTATAATCACCAACACAATCACCTTCCCCAGACCTTGCTGGTCATCTGTGCTCCCACAAAAGTGATGACACAGCTCCCTGTGAGTTCAGCAGTTCAGGACAAGAGGCAGGCAGCTGTTGGCAGCTCTGTGTTCCCAGGATCTTGGCTAGGAAATACTGCAGCTGAGTGAATCTCCCAGCACAATTACCTGGGAAAGGCTGCTGAACTTACTTTGAGACAGGTCAGGACAGGACTGACAAAGCCACCAGCTTTTAAATGGAGCCCAAATAACTGCAGGAGGAAGCTCCTTGGCTTGCAGAAAGGCTTCCCCTTGGTCATGGAAACAGCTAATCCCAAAGCCAGGCCCAACACAGTGCTGTGGCTCTCAGGTGAGCAGAGGCTCCACAACAAGCAGAGCCACTGCTCAGGGAGAGCCACCTTCCCTTCCCTTCCCTCCCCTCCCTGCTCTCACCCCAAAGTGCATGACCATGACCACAACCACGTTGCTGGCAGGAGTTTTGCAGGAGTGCTGATACTATCAGGATCAGTGGCTGTTCCAGCAGGGAAGCAGGAATAACTTGTTTAGCACTTCTAAGGAGCCATGCTGCAGGCTGAGAGCTGGGAGAAAATTCCTGCTTTTCACAGGGAGACAGAAAGTTTCTCCCATTTGATGATTCAGCATTGATTTAGAAGAGTGGAAAAAAAAAAAAGGTGTTTTATTTTAAAGATTTTAAAGAGCATCTTCATCCCAATCAAGTGCAATAGAAGAAGTGTTGAATTGATACACAGGACAGCTTTTGCACATGCTTGTTCCATGAATGCAGCTGTTAGCACCAAAAGAGATTGAGGAAAAGGAAAATCCACCAGCCCAGGCAGGGAAAGCTGCATTCCTGTTAGTGCACTGAAATGCACTGCTCCACTCCGAGCCCTAAGAATGCAGCCCAGATTTTTTTTTTTCCACTAGAATTTGAAAAGAATAAATCAAAGTAATTACAGCATTGCCCTTACAGAATTGCTTTGCAAAGCTGAAATCAGAGCTTCAAAAGGTTTTTACTAGCAGCCAGCAAATCCAGAGAAGCAGAGATGCCTACTTGGGCAGCTGCACTGGCCCCAAGACGTGCTTCAGGAGCCACTTCCACATGGAAAAATAGCCTGGGTTGAATTAAAGCAGCTTATAAAGTCTATATTTGCATCTGACTTCCCCCCTACACATCTGCACGAAATCAGGATCATGCCTTCCAAAAATCTCCCTGGCTCCTGGTGCAGCCCCTGCACCCACATTTACATAACATTTATTGTTCAAGCAGCCCAGAGCAGGCACAGGCAGTTCCTCATTCCTGTATTATGGAGAATGAAGTGTGATTTATTAAATGAAAGGCCAGAAGTGGAAGAAAGAGCTGAATGTGGGTGCTTTGACCTTTTAGAAGGTTCAGTGCACCAGGGACTGCTGCCACCCCAGCAGGACAGCACAGAACCATTGGCTAATTTTTCATTAGTGGGGAAATCACTGCTGATCCTGGTTTCATGCAGAGGGCTCAGGAACACAGGCTTCAACTCTGCCCTCTAACAGAGATCCCTCTCTCACTGAACCATGGACAGGGTGGATTAAAATAATTCACATTGAAAAAATTTCTTGGAAATCAACAGCTCTCATTATGCTCAGAAACTCTATCTAGGAATTGTTCAAATTTAATTTAAAGGCCATTGGGTAGTTCATGTTTGCTGCACAAGTTTTAAAGGACAGATAACAGCACTGGTGACAGTCAGTGGCTCAGTGAATGGCACTAAATTTCAGAAAAAAGTGTTTTTAAGTGAACCAAAACCTATATTTTCTTCCTCCAACCAACCAGCCAAGAGGAGAGCTACTGTAAGTTACAGAGGACTGAAAACACTCTCTGTGTGGTTATATTTGGTAACTAAAACAATTCTATTAAGCAATTATTCTTCAAGGCACAACTTGACAAGAGAGTCTCTTAAGAGTCCAACATGAGCAGTTTAAGCAACAAGAACAAACACTGCTGCTCTTGGGTCACTCAGGTACAATTCCAGCCCAACACAGCCTGGTTCAAGACACGGGCTGAAAAAAAGAAATTAAAATGTTTCTTTTTAGAATAACTTTGGGTTATTGCCATTTTGGCATAAAATGCAAAAGTGGGAGTCTGAAAAAGAGATTTTAAACTATATGGATATTCTTTACAGACTGTGGCATAAAAAATGCAACACAAGGTTTGATATGAAGCTCACTGTGCTGCAAATGCAGGTGTTTCATTGCTACTGACCAGTGACAATGAAATTCTCCTTCAGGGTAAACCAACAGGGGAAAACAAGATTAAAATCAATGATTTAAACCAAGCCTTACAGATTTAAGCCATAGCTTAAATGTAGCAATGTAAATACATCCACCCTGGCCATAGAGGCCCTCAGCTCTCCCCATCAGCCCATGGATGGTTTCCTTCTGAGGTCACAACCCAGGGAACACTGCAGGGCAGCACCAGGGACACTGGGCACCTCTCCACGTTGTACCTGGTAGGGAAAGAGGACTTCAATCTCCAAGGCTGCCATTCCAACACCTTCACTAGCACTAAATTCACAGGAAACCTAAGGACCTAAGAGACAGAACATGGAAACTTCATCAGGATTTCTAAAGCTGCATTCAGCTCTGCTCTGGAAAAGCTGGATCTAAACACAAAGTGTATTCAGTTTGTTGAGAGAGAATTTTCAAGCACTTTAAAAAGGAGCTCATTTATAACCTCCCCAAAATAAAGGCAGCCATAAGCATCAATAGAAGAAGGGAAAGGGGCCTAAACAAAAATTCTGGATCAGGGTATACTCCAGTTTGAAGGAATGAATATCTGGATTGGAGAACTGAGCCACTCTCATTCCTAAAAATACACTATTCATTGATCATTAGTGGGATGTTTATACCTTGCATAGAACAAATAAGCCCTGTTATGGTTTGCCATAGATATTTCTCCCTGCTGAAGCCTCTGCAGGTCCCTTCAACCAAGGCAAAGTTCAGCCCCAGCTCCAGAGCATCACTGCAGAAGCCATCAGCACTATGTCCAGGAGCCTCTGGTCAGCCAAAAGCCTCTGCTAGAGGAAGCCAAGAGCTTCTGCAGCCTGAATCTTCCTTTACCCCTGGAGCCAAAGGAATTCTTTGTCCCATGGCCACTGGAAGTGCACCATACCATAGCAGCAGCTCACATGTACCCAGCTCACATCAGCAGAGCACATTCCAGCCACCTTTGTCTGAACATAGAGAGGAAATTTCGTACTCTTGTGGGACACAGTGTTGACTGGAATGGTTTAAAGGTGCTGATTTAGATAAAAAGGTTTTCAATTCTGGAGGGATGTACTATCAGGATATGAGAAGGTTCCCACAGATGTCATTTTGGTCATTCTTTCCACAGCTAACCACAGAGTAATGTGTACATGGCAGGAAACACACACAGACAGGGCTGCAGGAAGTAAATCCTCTCCCATCTCCCAACAGCCAGTGCTGAGCTGGGCATTTATCCCAAAATGGGCTTTGGTGGGTCTCAATGCCACAGACTCACTCTGGTAATGTCAGACTGAACTTTACTTTGGTGGCCCAGATGCTCCTGTCACAGGAACACAGAAAGGCAGTGAACTGGGTGATCTGGGGGAAAAAAATAGGCAGTGTTTGAAGGGAAGGGTGGTTGGGTTTTTAATTTCACAGAACACTTCCCTGACAAAACATACAGCTGTGAGTTCCTCTGCTTTGCTGCACACAGAATGGTTTCCCTATACCTAAACTAAAAAGGGAACAAGAGAAGATGTTGGCTGTGTGAGGGAATTGAAAGTAATATTCAAAATCATCAGGAAAAAAGAGAAATTTCCCACTCTACCACATGTGGCAGCCCTGCCTCAGGGGTGATTAATGAGATGTTTGAGAGCTCATCACCCCAGCTGCTGTGCCCCTCCTGTGCCCACCAGCCCAGGACTTACACGGCCATGCCACCAACAAACTCCTCTGTGGCCTGGCAGTAGATTGTGATGGCAACACGGGCATCTGCATCAAAGGTGAACTCCAGGCTGTACAGAACCTTCTGCTTCCCATTCTCCTCAGTGGGGCTGTCAACATCATCTTTGTACCTGAAAGGCAATGCCACAGGATTAGAACACATCTTATGAGATATCAACAAGATCACTCTGGAAATAGAGACAGGAGTACTCCAGCCTTGGTGTCCCAGGCAGGCAAAGCAGGCTGGGCTTCCACCCTGGGCTTCCCACATTTCCATTCTTTCCCCTGAGGAAGGTTCTTCCAAGATGTGACTGAAGTTATTGAAGTGAATTAATGATGGTAGTGAGGGGTCTCACCCAGCCCTACAGTGCCAGGACACAGAATGAGACAAGGAAGGGAGATCCTGAATGTCAAATGCTGAGGAGAAGAAACATTCTCCTTCGTTTTACACCCTCACATTTGGCTTAGTGTTTGGGCTAAAGAAATCCTGCATGGACTTGAGAAATCTGAAGTGTAATTCTTTTAACTCTGCAATGAAATGGTGAGAGGCAAAAAAACCCAAGGTCTCTGTAACACAAAGAACTCCTGAAGCTCAGCAAAAGGTACCTCCAGTATCACACAATGGATGATATTTAGCTCAGAAAACATCCAGATATAAGAACTTCAAACACCTTTAAATGTACAAATGATCAATCAAACCTCTGGTGCTGTGAGGGAGCATTTATTGTAATAACACAAATTAACACATCCAAATGCAAACAGACACATGATAACCAATAGAATGAGAAGTTATTTCAATTAATGTAAAAGCCTAATTTGGCTACAAGCTCCTGCACAGCTGGATCCCACTGTGTGATCACCACTGCCAGGGTCACTCCTTTGCCCTACTGCAGGAAAAGGCACAAATCCATTGAAGAAGAGGTCTGAGGCCTCTCTGGGGCAGTGAGCTGTGGCCATGGGCCAGGGGGACTTACAGAGGGCCAGGAGTGGCCAGAGAAACCATCAGATCTTGGAACAAGCAGCCAACACATCACACCAGAAGAAAATTACAGAATGATGGGATATCCTGAGTGGGAAGGGACCCCCAGGGATCATCCAGTCCCACCCTGGGCCTGCACAGACCCCCCAACACTCCCACCCTGTGCCTGAGCACTGTCCAAGCTCTCCTGGAGCTGTGGCAGCCTCGGGGCTGTGCCCATTCCCTGGGCATCCCTGGGCAGTGCCAGCACCCTCTGGGGGAAGAATCTTTCCCAAAATCCAGCCTGACCCTGCCCTGCCCCAGCCATTCCCTGTCCCAGAGATCAGAGCTGCCCCTGGGGAGGAGCTGCCGCCCCCCCTGAGCTCTGCCCTCAGTGTCCTCCTCTCCTGAGCTGCCCAAGCTCTCCCTGCCTCACAGAGCAAAGTGACAGACAATGGATGTGATTCACTGGCAGGGCAGCAGCAGATTCCCCACAAATCCAAATCCCATGACCACAGGTACCAGTGTGAGCTCAGGCTCTGTGTGGGAATGGTGAGGGCAGCAAGGCTGCCTGTGAGAGGTGTAACAGCTCTACCCTGTCACCCAGCTCCAGCCTCACTTGTTCATCAGTAATACCTTAATTGCTGTGATGGCTGGGTCACAGCCAAGCAGCTGAACTATTCAGGAAAAGCTTGGCACCCTCTCTGTCTTCACAGTATCAGCCTCTCCCCTCACTAAACAGCCCTGATGAATACACTGTACTGTCAAAAATACCCAGCAATGGGTCAGACATACCTCCATAATTCAATCTAAAATTGTCAAGGGAATCCTTGTTTATCAAGTTCACTGACATATAACAACTGCTGCCTAATTAAGAGGGTTCCAGCTTGAATTTTATTTAACACCACTCTGAACAAGAATGAAATGTTCAGTTTCAGTAATTTAATACAGAAGGTGCAAAATAAAATTTAAGAGCAGTAGAATCAAATACCCAACACGTACTTGCACTAATGTAACCCCTAACTAATGGCACACACCCACATTCCTGTCTGAAGGGCTTGGAGAGGCTTTGGCCAGAGGTTCACCTAGGTCACAGCAGCAAATCAAGCTAAAAACACCCAACATGCCAGTATAAAAATAAATAAATCCCAAGAACTGGAGTGTTAACATCTGCAGAAACATGGACACAATACACAGTACAGAGCAAGATGGTATTTTCACACAAGCTAGTTGCATTCAAAGTGAAAATCATGGCATTGGAGGCTGTAAAGAAGAAACACTGGGCAGAAGGGCAGATTTGCCTGAAGAACACAGGAACCACCAACATTTTGTGCTGGACTGACCCAAGAACACAGATGGCAGCAATCCACTCACAATGTTGTGTGTGTCCAAGAGAGCAGCAGCACAAGTCACCTCTTGCTGGGCTGCACTCTGTGGATCTGAGGTTCAGTGAAGGATCCAGGCTATGACAGACTTGGCACTTCTGCCAGAAGCAGCAGGGTGGGAGAACCAGCAGCTCTTGCAGGCAGAGGCTCCTTCAGCCTCCCCTCATGCACAGGGAGGTATTAAATAGAGCACAGCACATGTGAGAGCTCCAGCACAGACTGGGATACCTGTGACAGCACCAAGGAACAATGGGGACACCTGGGCATGGGGCAGCTCTCACACAAACACATCCCTGGCACAACCACTGCCTGCTTTGTCTTCTCAGGGAAGTCACAAAAAGCACCCAGATCACGCTCCTGCTCCCAACCTCACCCTGCAGCTCTCTGCCAGCACTCAGAATGTGCTTCCATGCTTCCAAGGAGATAAAGGGTTAAAGCCAGACTAGATCTGTTGCCCTGGGAAACAACTGAGGGGCCACAGCAGTGCCTGGAGGGAAGGACTGTGAGGGATGCAGGGAGGAGAGGCTGAGCCTTGCCTGCCTGAACAGCACCACTGAGCAGAGGGCAGGGTACAAGTGCCTAAAAGGTGACAGCCACAGCAAGGCTGTGCCCTCCTGCTGCTGCTGGAGGCACAGAAAATCATTCACAACCCTCAGTACCTGAACAGTACAGAAATATGCAGAGAGACTGGAGATTGATAAGGCAAGGGGGAATGGCTTCACACTGACAGAGGCAGGGTTAGATTAGACATGAGGAGGAAATTCTTCCCAGTGAGGGTGGGCAGGCCCTGGCACAGGGTGCCCAGAGCAGCTGTGGCTGCCCCTGGATCCCTGGCAGTGCCCAAGGCCAGGTTGGGCAGGGCTGGGAGCAGCCTGGGACAGTGGGAGGTGTCCCTGCCCATGGCAGGGGTGGAAGGAGATGAATTTTGAGGTCACTTCCAACCCACACCAGTCTGGGATTCTATGAACTGCCACAGAGCAAAGAGTTCAGGTGAGAAACACCTGCACAGATGGTAACTGGCCCAAGGAACAGGCAAAGCCTACTGTGGTGCATACTTTGAGAGGCAGAGACATCTCGTGTGCCACCTTAAGGTGCAGGAATGGTGGGATGTAACATCAGGGAAGCAACAAGACAAAAATCACACATTCTGCATTCCTCTTTCTTTGAAGGAGACGTGGCAGACAAGGAGGTGGTTCAGGTGCTTCAAGAGCTCATCTGTCTCCACTGCACTTGAATTTTACAGTGCCCATTTAGCCAAGCCCTACAGACAGTGTCCACGTGGGGTGGTCACAGATGCATGCACAGATTTGGGAATCAGTGACTTTGCTGAGTGTGCCTTTGGGTCATGCACAGAGGAGCATCAGAGCCTTCACAATCACAGGTACAGAGGAAAGAGACTGACCACCTTTGAGAACAAACAGCTGATCCAAAGTTTTGATGCAAATGACAAAGCAGGATGACCAAGGGAGCTGAGGCCACCTGGTCTGACATCACTCCTGGATAAAACAATGGAAAGGTTGGAGCTTTTTATTGTCTGGTAAAGAATTAAAAGATAGAAATATAATTAACAGCAGCCATGACAGTTTTATAGAACTAGGCTGAGCTAAACCAAATTTCATCCTTTGAGGAGATTCAAGTCTGACCAACCCAGCAGACATGCAGGATAAATGTTAAGTATCCCTTGACTGAGATCTGCATTTACCCAGTGTTTGAGCAGGCAATAAATGAGAGCAGAATTAGTGACACCTCTGTCAGCACTGCCTTCCACAGGGGAGAGCATCACCAAACACAGGGGTTCTGTAAAGATCTGTCCAGTTTAACACCATCCAGGCTGCAGAGCAGGCAGTCCCAGCCCCTCACTACCTCCAGCACAGGAGGAACAGATCCAAGGACCAAGATCAGCCCCCTGTGCTGCAGAGGGAAGGGATTTCCTTTCTCTCACTCCCTGCAACTCACCTGTCTCCCCTCAGCCCCCACCATCCACCTCTCTCAGGCCCTCATCCAAAACACTCCATGATTATTCTCCATGACACTCCTGATGCTTCAGACACACTCCCAAACCACCCCATCTGCTGATTCCTTCAATGCTTTTGTTGCTGTCCAAAGCCCAGAAGCTGAAGCAGAGAAGCTGCCCCAGGGTGCAACAACAAACATTGTCTCCTGAGCTGGTCTTCCTCCTGCAGCTTGGATGTGCTTTCAGGAGAAGAAGGAACAGCCAGTGCCAGCACAACAGGTACTGAAGCTCCAAAACAAAGCTTCCAATCCAAGGCTAAATGTGGGACACAAGAAAAATAGAAGGAAGCCTTTCTCAGTTAGTGGTTTGCAGCAAAATTCCTGCTACCCTGCTCTGAGGTTCACAGTCTCCTCCTGCCAGAGATCAAAAAATCACATGTGACATTGAAGACTCAGAACTTCAACACCAATATCCACAGATTTATTGTTTATCCTGTCAAAATTCAGGATCTGGCAAAGCTCAGAATTTTGTCTGGTCAGAGCTGGGCAAGGAGGCCAGAGTGGACACTTCCCTATATTCCTCCATGGCACCTCTCCTGTGAGGACCAGCTGGAGAAGAGAAGGTTCCAGGGAGAGCTCAGAGCCCTTGCAGTGCCTAAAGGGGCTCCAGGAGAGCTGCAGAGGGACTTTCAACAGAGGCCTGGAGTGACAGGACAAGGGGCAATGGCTTCTCACTGCCAGAGGGCAGGATTGGATGGGATATTGGGAAGAAATTCTTCCCTGTGAGGGTGGTGAGGCACAGGATGCCCAGAGCAGCTGGGGCTGCCCCTGCATCCCTGGCAGTGCCCAAGGCCAGGTTGGACAGGGCATGGAGCAGCCTGGGATAGTGGAAGGTGTCCCTGCCATGGGACAGTGGGTGGAACAAGGTCCCTTCCAACCCAAACCAGTCTGGGATTCTATGAAAAAGCTTATGGGGATGTTACCATCAGAACATACACTCAGAACTTTGCACCTGGACACTTGGCTCAGTACCACTGTATTTGGTGGAGGATGTGGTAAATTGACCAGCTCTGGAAAGAACGTGCAAAGCTCAACCACTGGCTGGGAATAAGCCAGGCTGGAGAGGCACAGAGTGTCCTTTACGTGCACAGAGGGAGGAAGACAAAGCCTCTGGGCCAGAAGAGCACAAGACAGAATGTACCCTTGGGGACTGCCAATTAAAACCTCATTTTGGGTCTACATCAGTGCAAAATTCAATAGAGTCATGTTGGCAGTGTTGTCGTCAGCACTGACACAGCAGCAGCAGCACAGGAGCCTGAGAGAGCTCATGAGGCACAAAAAGAACTGCAAGTACCAGGAATTGGAGGGATGAAAACCTAGATACTGTCAACATGGACACTACATTCCAAATAGACCAGAGCTGCAGCTCTGGGAGATGGGACGTGAGCACAGAAAGCAGAATGACAGAACTGTATGTACAAACCACACCAACTGCTCTATTCACAGCCAGGTCCCTCTCAGGGAAAAAGCCACTTCCCAATTGGCTTATGTTCCTTCTCTTTTTTCCTAGAGCAGTACTTCTCCCTTATGCTGAAACACCAAAGGGCTTTCAGAGCAGTTTACCAATGGTCACTTATTTGGAAGTTCCATCAGCTTTGAAACCACAGGTTTTGCTCATTTAAAACAAAACAAAACAAACAAAAAAACCCACATCTGTTTTCACATAAAAACAAACTGAGGGGTTTTGGTTATGACTCCAAGTGCTCATGTTACACCAGGCTCTCAGAGCCACCTTGGCTGGGAGCTGCAGCTGGAGCCCTGCCAGAGCTCCAGCCCCAGACACAGAATCCAGAGTGACTCCAGCCAGGATGGTTGGGAAAGGCTCTGCCTGGACATCTGCCCAGAGCTCAGACCCAAACAAAGCACTGAATGCTGGGCCCTGTACCTCAGCCATCTGTTGGAAAGGGGACAGCTGCAGGTCTGAGTGTGAGCCAGTGCTTTCATCCAGCTCTGCTGGTTCAGATCTCAGCGTGGAGCAGTGAGAGCTACCATCCCCTGCCTGTCCTTCCCCCGTGCATGGGACACAAGCCATCCAAACAAATGCATAACACTGGGACCAAACTTCATCCTGGCAGCAGGAGAAACTGAGGAAGTTTCACTCAAGACCCATCAGCCTTCCAGGCCCGTGACTTGCACCAGAATCAGCTCCCTCCTGGCTTCTCCTTGCCCAGGAATGCAGGAAGGAATCTGTCTGTAAAGTTTATTGACCTGACTAATACCTTCCGCTCGTGCTAATGATTTCATGGCTTTGTTTACCCCTCCAGTCTGTCCTGCAGAAACAGACACATCACTGGTCCTGCTTGGAAAAACAGATTGTTTGGATAAGGAGCACATAAACCACTTGAAACCTCAAAAAGGAACACAGAAACATATCTAGCAACAAGGATCTGGATGTCAGCCATTCTCCAAAAGCTCACCAGTACAGTTTGGCTGTGGCTGAGAGATCCCTGGGGTGAGTAAAATGAAAGGTTCAGGTGATGGCAGTACCTGACAAGTCGGAGAGAATCCTTGCGGATGTTCACCAAACTCCTCAGTGTCTTCACTGGCTCATGAGGAGCTGGAGTTATGTAGGGAAACTGCAACAAAGAGGCAAATCATTCTTGTTATTACACCATAAAGGGTAGCAGCATGTAACCGAGCATGCAATTTACCCAAATCAAGAAGCATGTAGCTTTCAGGGTGTTCAGTACAGCAGCCACAAGGAGCGCTAAATTTTATTTACTGATAAACAGCAAATTTTATTTACTGATAAATCAAACGTGTTTCAGGGTGAAAATCCTGCCCTGGCCCAGCAACAGCTCATACTGGAAATGCACACTTTAAGAAAGACCTCATGAAAATGCCCTTTCTCTCAACCCTGAATTCTCAGTCAGGAAAGCCTTGCTCTCCCAAGCTTTTATTTCTACTAAAGAATCCACCTCCAGCTTGAGCAGAAGAAATGCAGCTCTTTCATGTGCACTGCAGCATGCAAGCAGTGATCTGACTGCTAATCAGCAGGCTGAAGCCCTGGATTACTGGGGGAAACTCTTTTTATTCTGAAACAATGGGACAAATGTTCTGGAAAAGAAAAGAGACAGGGATAGGGGGCCTCATTCTATTCTACAGTCAAGAAATCTTCTCTCACAGATTGTCCTTTAAATAGGGACAATAATGCTTCAGACTGTAATTCTCCATAGTGGGCACAGCATCTCCAGTGAGAAATGCAAAGGGAACTGCTTATTGTGGTGATCACAACCTGTGCAGCTGCAGAGCTGCCTGCTGGGCACCAGGGACCACCAACACATTTCCTCAGAAATGAGGCAAAGCCTCCCTCACTCCAAAGCAAGAACTGGGCCCATGTCCAGAGAACAGTGCTGCTGCTCAGTGCTTCAGTGGTTTTTTTCTCTTTTTCCTTGAAGATTAATCAGAGCTGCCAAAAGGCTTTAACTTTACATAGGCAAACTATATTCCACAACAGCCTCCTTCTCTTGAACCCACTTGGCAAATGTCCCAGGGTGTTACTGGGCTCTCCCCCACTCCCCTCTGGAGAAATGATGAAACCCAGAGCTGGGGTGGCAGCAAGGAAGCCAGGCTGAGGCGTGCAGGTGTTGCACTGTGCCAGCTCAGCCCTGCAGGGAGGGCACAGGGCACGTGGTGAGCACCCCCAGGCCTGCCCAGCTCTGACACAGCCACAGAGCTCCAGCTCAGGTCTCCCCTCCCTAATTCTCTTGCCCAACTGCACTTCCTGCTTAAACAAAGACTTTCCAGATTCCTCCTTGTCCATCCCATGACCTGAGTGTGGTTCTAAAATGACCAATGGCACGGCCTGAGGAGAAACTCAGAAAGCAGAATGTGCTTGTAACTGTTCCAATTCCAATTTGCCTAAGTTTCCCTTATCTGTAAAAGCAGGGTGATCCCAAACTGCCACCAAGCATTAGAAACATGAATTAATTCATGGTCACAGCTTTTCTGATGAGACATGCAGGTAATTAAATTAAATAATTAATTAAACCAGAACCGTGACTTCTAGTTCTCATTTTCATGTTTGGAAGCTGCAGAAATAAGTAGGAAAACAGTGAGCAAAGCAAGCAGCTCTTCCCTTTCCTCTCCAGCACTCAGAAAACATCTCCAAATGGCTCCTACTCTGTCACCTTTTGGTTCTTTTTAAGCAGCTCTGAGATGCAAGAGAAATCCAAAGCATAACATTTTGCATAAAATTCCTGTCTTTCCCTCACAACAACATTATTCTCTTTTTAAGAACAAGGCAAGCACTTGAGCAAGCAGCTTTTCACAGTCTCACAGACATCTATGGGCCCAAAATTACATTATATTTTAGCCAGGAAAAGAGAAGGAGGGACTTTCTAAGCAGCCCACCTGGGTATAAAACCCACAAAATGTCAAGGTCTGTCTTAACATTGCCCTCCATCAAAGTGAGGCCACTCAGACACAGCAAACAGCAAGTGTTGAACACAAAACCTGCCCAGGAGCCTTGGGAAGTTCAGGCTCTGCTTCCCAGCCCTCTCTGCAGCAGGTTTTACACTTGTTCAGGCAGAATTAGTCCCAAATTCTGTGCTCCTCAGCCCCTGTTCTTCCTCCCCCACCACCAATTCCTTCTGTCCTCAGTGAAAATAACTCTCCAAGGTGAATTCAGCCTCTCAGGAAAACTCAGCTTGCATCTGAACAGACTGGAATGACATTCCCCAATGTTTGTGCCACTCTCCTCTACAAACCCCACACAAGATTTTCCAAAACAGGCAGGAAATAAAAAAGAGTAAAACAGACAGAACTTGCCTGAACTGGTCTATTTCCAAGGAAGTTTAAGTCCATGTTCTCACCAAAAAGGTAACCCTCAGGGTGAGGGGTGTCAAACTTCTCACCTCCCATAAAGAAGTGACTTGCAAAGTAGTTTCCTAGAAACAAAAAACACAAGAGAATGGGAAAAAATATCCCTTTAAATGAGTGCTTCCTGGAAAAGTCTGTGCAGTTTTAAATTCACAAGTATAAGAGCCATAAGACACAGAAAATACTTGCTTATTTACCCCTTCACTGTAGTACTCAGGAGCAGTGCCAACAGTAGAAAAAGAAAGGGAAAAAACAATTAAACAAAACAAAAATAAATAAATATTACAATATTAGAATAAATATTACAGTGGAGATAATTCCATTTCAACTTGTTTTGGAAAGTCAGGAAAAGTCAGCTCTTTCCAATATTGCTCCATTCTGGTTAATTCTTCCTGTTTTGTCCAGTTCCCAGTGTGAAGCCCAGTCCCACAAACACCTCAGAGAGGGATGAGGCTTCTCCCACTGCAAAGCTCAGCACAGCCAGAGGTCTCCTGTCACCTTTCATCCCCTCTTTGACTCCCAAATCCCACAAAAGAACCACTCCAAACCTTTACTGGGGGTGCTGGACACTGTACACCCTGCTGCTGATTTAATTAATAATGCTGAACACTTCTAAATGCAGAAACATGGATGTCAGGGAGTGACTGAACTGAAAGTCAGCTCTGAAAGTTTCACCAGGAATTTGTTTCATTCATCTTTAAGGTGATGCAGCACAGTGAAAATTTCAGGACACAAAGCCTGTGCATGTGTGGGATTCTGGAGCATGGAATTGACTGGAAAATGAACAGAATTCAGGTGTGTGAAAGCATCACAGAGTAGCTCCCTCCTAGAAAGACTTCAGGAAAACACTCAAAAATGAACTTCCCAGAGGTACAGTTTCAGAGAAATAAGTGTCAGGAGAGAATGAAATAAAAGGCTCCATCCAAGCCACTTCTCTTCAAGTTTCAGAGTGGGGGATGAGAGGACTGAGCCAAATGTACACTTGCTTCCCTGGGTGCAATGCATAGACAGCACAACTTTGTGTTAAAATGAGTCATTCCAGAAGCAGTCACTAATCATCTGAATGGCATTCTGGAGGGATGTGCAGTCCCTCTAGCTAGGAGCAAGCAGGATTTACTCTGAAATGGAAGGGTTTCATGAATGGCCCTGTTTTCTCCATTAAGGCTTTCTCCCTTTATGCTCCAAGAAAGGCTCTTTTCACTCTGCACAGATGGCAGTGCCTTAATGATGGTGGGATGGCTCAGCCACTGCTGAGCTCAGCTCACAAGCACCCAGATGTTTGTAGCACTGAAACACATCCTTCTTTCCAGATACAGCAACCACCTTCAGCACAGCTCCAGCAGCTCCTCAGAATCTGTCCTACAGAATCACAATAACAAAATCACAGAATCATTTAGGTTGGAAAAGCCCTCCAAGATCATCAAGTCCAACCTGTGACCTACCATCACCTTGTCAAGCAGATCAGAGCACTGAGTGCTACATCCATTTCCTGGACACAAATGTAGGTGCCCCAAGTGACAGGGAATCTTTTCCCACTCCTCCCAGAAGCAACAAATTAAAAAATTAATCTGTATATAATCTCCAAGCACAGCCAGCCTGACACTGCCTCTCCATCAGAGCTACACCATGGAGGTTTGTGTGTGCACTGAGGTTCAGAAAACCACACTGAAGGCTGGAATAGATGCCACATTTTATGTGGGTCAAGCAGGATTGTGCTTTAGAACATTTTATTTGATCAGCTGAGAAGACAATGCTTGTGCAGGATGTCTCAGTAGCACAGCAGCTGGTTATCTGGGATCAGAGTCAGAGAACTCCCTCTTATCCAGTGATGGGTCAGAATTACAGAACCATAGAATTGCCTGGGCTGGAAAAGACCTTAAAGATCACACAACTACAACTTCCTGCCACCTTTCATGACACCAGGATGCTCCAAGCTCTGTCCAGCCTGGCCTTGGACACTTCCAGGGATGACAAAGCCACAGCTTCTCTGGGAAAACCTCTGCCAGGGCCTCTTCACCCTTGCAGGGAAGAATTTCTTCCTAATATCCAATCTAACCCTGCTCTCTGCCAGATTGAAGCCATTCCCCCTTGTCCTGTCACTCCTGCAGGTTTGTAGCAGTTATCCTGCAGATAACCTTGCCCATCTTTTCTCTAAGCTCCCTCCAGATCCTGCAAGGCCACAGAGGTCACCCCAAAGTTTCTCTTTTCCAGGCTGAACAATTTCCCAACTCTCCCAGCAGAGCTGCTCCTCCCTGGGCTCATCCTGGTGCCTCCTCTGGGCTCTCTCCAGCAGCTCCAGCTCCTCCCTGTGCAGAGGCAGCTCTGCAGGCGGGGTCTCGGGTGGGCAGAGGGACAGAATCCCCCACTGTGGGATCAGCCCAGGACATGGCTTGAGAGCATCTCCAGAGATGAAAAGGTCCCTCTTGCTCAACTGGAGCAACACCCAGACACAAAACCAGCACGTTCAAGGCACCTGCCACAGTCACTGCTCCACTAGGAACAACTCCTGACATCTCTACCCAATTGTTGGGATTTCTCACAAACACAGTAGCTGGAATCACAGCTCCAGTTCCACAATCAGACTGAACTCTCTTTATCTCCCTGCTAAGTCACCTCCTGCAATGTGAAGGAGAGGTTTTTCCCCCCGAGGCATTTGCTTCACAAGCAAACAAGAAACGCAGTGCCAGGCACGAGGAGCACAGGGAAAACCACTCTGAGGTGCTCAGAGGGAGCACACAGAACAACCCTGAGGCTCTGCCACTGCTGCTGCACACACAAAAGCTGCCACACACACGAGGTCTCAACAGACAAACAAACCAGAATGGCAGCAAACTGTCTCCACACATTTATAACACAGTTTTCAGCAGCTAAAAAAAGATATTTTGTTGCAAGCTTTCAGAAAGCTCTTGCTACAATGACACCCAAGTTCAGAGCTCTCAAGGTAAAACCAAAGTTATGCATTAATCCTCTCAATCATTATCACAACCACCTCAGTTTGCCCAAGTTGGAGGCAGAACATTTTAAGAAAGCATTTCTTAAATATCACACCAGGGATTAAAACTAAAAGGAAACTTCCAGATGGAAAATATGAGGCATCCTCTTTAGCAGTCGCTGTGACATTTAGGATTTTTAGTGGCTCTAGCAGGCATGCATATATATTCTATGCATTGGAATCTCAGGTTCCATTTCCAAATCCAGCACAAAGACAGCTTTAAAACTTCAGCCAGGCTATCATGCCTCTGGAACCTTGTTGCCATTGTTCCCCCAGGCTATAAAAGCACCTTAAGCAGGTGTGCCAGCTTCACACACAGCTCTGTGGCTATGGGCACAAGGAGGATGCTAAGAGCCATCCTCTTTGGCAGGAAAAAGAAAAAGCAAGAAATCCTTGGATGGATCCTCCACAGAACTGCTACAAACAGAAACCCTCCAGGAAAATGCAGTGATACACTGACCAGGAAAGAATCACACATAAATAAAAAAAGGTGGAAAAGGATAAAAGAGCCAGAGCAAAGCAAAACTGTGGCTTCAGTTCCCCAGAGTAAATCAGCACAAAGCACAGAGCAGCATGAGATAAAAGAGAACATGACCAAGTGAGGCAGATGAAGCCCAAGCAGTGGCTGTAAGAGGAATTGTTGTGGTGGAAAACTTTACAGTGGCTGGAAAAACTGGGACCACTGGGACAGGACAGCCAAGTCTGACTCATTCATTTGTCCCATGCAAAACCAAACTGGAACCCAAGGCTCCTCCAAGGCATCAAATGACACCAAAATACTTTCTATTTAGTACAACATAGTGCTGGGGGTTTATTAGCATAATTGCACCAGCATTAAGCACCAGATTGTCCAGTCACAATTACCTCTCCCTAATCCCATATCCATGCAACACATGGAGGGGATGCACAAGAGACAAGCTGGGAAGGGACACAACCTGCAGGAGGCTGAGCACAGCTGTGATCCCATCCCAGCATGGCTGTGTCTCAATGTTCATTAACAGAAAGCATTTAGGTGCCCATTCAGGCTTCTCACCATTAATGCAATTAACAGTGAGGTGATAGAAATTGGGTTCTGTTTAATTACTCAGGCAGAGTGACAGCACAGTCCCAGGCACAGCCTGGACCAGCACACAGGACAGGGACCCTGTCATGGTACCCAGCAGCACAGGGATGCACTGGCTGTGACTCTGGTACTCTTCTCCTATTTAAAATTGCTCTTTCTTTGATTAAAGCCTCATTCCCAAACAACAAAGCAGTTCAGCTTCAGAGAGGAGCAATCCACTTCCTTTTCTTCCTCCCAGGAATCTCCAGGGAATCCTCAAGAGCCATCCCAGGGGCACGTGCTCTGTGCTGCAGAGGAGCAGCAACAGGAGAGAGCTGTGGGGAGCACTGGGGCACTGCTCACAGCAACAGGGGCAGGGCAGATCCTTCACTGCTCCAAGCACTGAGATCACAACTCTAAACAGGGAAAAAAATAACCATTTTTAGCCTGTTTCACAGAGCACTTACTCTTCTGTACAAACCAGGTCTTCCTCCCAGCACGGGCTCCATAAAGCAAGAAATTTTGGTTAAAAGGTACCACCAAACAGGGGTCAGACAAGGAAATTGGGTAGCACCTTACAGCAGCCTCAGACATCCAGATATAGGAGGAAAAATGCAGATGATACCCACCCAGAGCACTGGAGGAACAGGCAGGGCATTTTCTGAGGATTTTTGACTACAAAACTGCACACAATTTCCAACAAAGCTGTTAAACACCTTGCTTCACTGGGGACTGGCTCATGCACACCAAGGTGGATTCCTCAAGCTGCTCCATCCTCCCCAGGGCACGTGACTGACCCAGCAGCACCCACATCAAAAGGCAAGAAAGGAGAAGTGAATATTCACCTCTTCCTTTGCAACCAGCTGTGACTCAACATGCTCAGCCACCGTGTCCCTCTGCACAGGCAGGCTGAAACCACAGCCACAACACCTGGATTTAGGTTTTTACCTGGATTTAGGTTTTTACCTGGATTTAGGGTTTGTTTCCTGGCACAGTGTGTCCTTGGGAGGGGGGATTTGCTCCCTGATCAAACC